TGTCGTCTCTCCTGGAAGAAGAGTTGCAGGGACGACACCTCACAACATTCTCACAACTCTCCCCACTGGCCAACACAAAATGAGACAATGCAAAGTCTAAAAATCACAATTGGTCACAAATTGCTGAGGGCAATGCATTTTGGAACTTCACAAAGCGCAGGGGCAAAGGCCTTGGGATCTTCTTTGTGATCTTGCTTGTGCTTGAAAAGAAATCTAAGGACATCTGCGCACCAAACTGTCACGACAATTGATTGAAAATTTCAACTACAGTAGTTTGTCTTGGCAGCAACAAGCAATGTGAAATAATGGGGAAGGCTGCGGGCTTGACGTGTTCATTTCACTTTGAGCTTTTGAACGTGGAGTTGTGCCAACTTTCTTGATCCTTGTGTAGGAACTAGGAACGTGGAGTCTCGCATGGAGTGTGTTCATAGAGGGTAAAGGGTTGATACCATGCGTCTGCTCCTGATCTATGCGAAACCAATCTATAAATGGAAAGATCATGGAATCTACTTGGCGATGAAAACATATGAAAACTGCTTGTCTAGGCTGAGCCATGGAGATTCTTTGTTTAAGGCTTCGAAAACACTGTCTTTGAGGCCAAGGACTCGCCATCGACATTCTCAGGCGAGAGCTGCAGCTCCTAGATCGAACAAAACACACCTGCTTCTTGCAAAATAACTTCCCACATCTCAACCGAGATACTGCAAAGGAACATACATGTGATTCTTTTGTAAGCAATTAACATCGATATACAAAATATATCTTAGCAAAACTTTGCACTGTGTGCCCGGTGCTTGCTTTAGCTTGCTTGTACTTTGTGCATCTTCCTGTAGAGCAACAGAAAGAACCGGTCGCATCCGGCGTCACTGCGTCATGAACCCCCCCTGTCACAGCAACTGTGACTACAAGCCCTACTCCGAACCAATGCTCTCTTCCCTCTCCTCTTACTTATTCTCTCGAGCTGTGTAGCGCTTGAGCTGCTGAGATCAAACAGTCTGAGAAAGGCTCAGACTATATTCTTTTTGTTTTGTTGCCCAAAGCCTGGGTGCTCGGCTGAGCACGAGAAGCGCCGGCACAAGGAGTCGTCGACCGTCATCTCCGTGAAAACAGCTAAACGTCAAGCCGCCATGAAACGTTCTTTTCCTTTCCATAGTGACAGTGGAAAACAAAGTAAGGAAAATAGGCACGGTACTTCATTCATCTTCATTCTATACACATGGGTATCAACACTTCACCACCAAAAGAGACTAATTACGCAGTATATGATATTGTTAAGAATGGGCCAGGAACCGTTCAAGAAGAAAGGGTTTGGGGCAAACGGCAAAGTCAGAAAAGAAGCCAACCAGGACCAGGAAGTGAAGCCAAATTGGAAAGGGAAGGAACTAATGGAGGAACAATCAAACATATTGCCCTGCTCACTGCTCATAGCAAAAAGGAAGTTTTATATAAAGTATAAATGCTATCGCCGCAAGACCCAAGCTTTCAGTTTTCACGATCGAATTCACGCTTGAAGAGTTCTTGTGAGTTCACCATGGACTCAAAATTGTGGAGATACCTTTGCCATTGATATTCAGCCACAGGGGACAGGGGACCATGTTGTTTACACTACGTAGTCTGACTCGCGTAGCGGTGATCCTTTAACCGCAATCGAACTGTTTGAAACCCAAATCTATCCTGTCCCATCTGCCCATATCTTCAACATTGCATGAACAACGAACAACACTCACATTGCTTGAAGCACGGTGGCCGCTGCCGCTGTTCTGGCGACATCGCAATACTCAAAGATATATAGTAATTTTCTCGATTTGGGTTCACAATGATGGGATCGGCGCTAAGAAAAGGGCGCGGTTCAATTTGAGGCCAGAACAGCTCCTGTTACCCGACTTTACTTAAGCGTATGAGCAAAGGATTCAATCCCCCTATTCTTCCTTGTACGCACTACCATTCTTGCTCATTTTAAAGTGAGCTTGAAATATTCCGTGCCACATTCCACCAACCTAACCCCTGCGCAAGCAAGTCAGCGACCCTTGAACAAAAGGTGAGCCCGAACCACACACCGGGTTCAGCGTGTCTCCTCTGGTTCTGACAAAACCCTGCATGTGAGGGAGCCCTCCCTCCCTCTCTATGATAGGTGGAGGACCCCTGCGCACTCCAAATATTAAGAACAAATGTCAGCCCTTCCACCCCACAAATGCTGCCTGTCAAAATTACTACATGTGCAAGCAGAATGAGGGGAAGGCACTCTTAATATGATGGTTGGGCCTACATCAATAATATAGTTTACTTGGTTTTGATTTCTATGTCTACGTATGTAAAAACGTAGACTTTTCATGCACAGGAAATATGCAGCATATGTTGTTTGCATGTTCAACTGGAGCACATAGAACACCGGGATTAAAAACACCCACCCCCACCCACACACACAAAAAGTTATGGAGAGCGGGCAGTTGCGGCAGTGCGTTTTTTGGCGCATTTGCTACGACAAATGGATTATTGATAATACACTATATTTTATGCAGTTATACCTAATTAATTCAATTGTAACTTAATTCTAATTCAGTTGTAATTCAACTCTATATACATGGATTCTAGTTCAGTTTTCTTTCAAATTCAATACTAATATAAGTCTAGCTAGAATCTAATTCAAATCGAATTTATACAATTCCATGTCAAACCTAATTTAATTCCGTTAAAACATAATTTTTAATTCAGCTTTCCCCTAGGTTTCTGGGATTGATCACTTCTATATTAAAGCCTCATATAAACGCGTGCATTTCAAAAGCTGTCCCCTAGATCTTTGGGAATGATCATGTGTTTGAAGATTATATAGTTATATAGAAGCGGTTTATTTCATTAATTTTGTGCAATGTATATTTATGTGCAATGTCAGATATGGAGGGCGGGCTGCCACTTCAAACATAATCCCTTTTATGGCAAACATAAATACACTCCCCACGGCGGCCCGCTCTCCAGAAGGGGCCGCCATGGGGCAAAACCAAAAAAACACCTTGAGAAAACACAAAAACATATATTTATGAGAGTCTTGACTGAACCCTCCCATAAAGGACAAACTTCTGAAAGCATGTCCTTTTTGGTGTTTTAGCTTTTTCTTCAAGAATTGTCTACAAAGTGCAGAATCTTCTGCAGAGTGCACTCCTGGCAGTGTAGTTTTCTTGATAAATGTTAACAGAGTGCCCTTCGCGCAGTGTAGTTTTCTTGACAAATGTTAACGAAGTGCCCTCCTGGCAGTGCAGTTTTCTTGACAAATGTTAACCGTGCTCTCCTGGCAGTGCAGTTTTCTGTGGGAGGGTTCAGTCAAGACTCTCTGAAATATGTTTGTTTTTTGATGTTTTTTTTTTTTTTGGACATATTTGGTTAGGCTTTCCTGCTGGATGCAATTGTTGTGCAGCAATTTTTGGCAGTGCAGTTTTCTTGACAAGTGTTGACTCAAAAGAAACAACTTTGCGAGAAAACTTCACTGCCAGGAGTGCCCGTCATGCAAAAAGATAGCTTTAGGAAAACAAGAAGCGAGCCAGTGCAACCAGTATTTTACGTTGTTTAATTTACAATGTGGCCGGAATGAACCAGCGCTTCGCTGAGTCCTAGCAAATTGATCAATTTTACCATCAACCGATCGATCCAACATATTTTCAGGGATGGACCGCGGATGATTAACGCCAATTCATATGTTTTCTTATGGCTTCATGCATCTTCATGCTGCTATCACGGGTCTAAAACTCATGTGAACTGCCCTTTGTTTCATGTTGTTTCTCGTTTTGTTGTTATTTTTTTTTTCACTTTTTCATCATAAGAAAAGGTCACTGGGTTGTTTCCGGTTTTGGTCTCCTGGACAGCTTCTTCCTCAGCATCTTCGAAACCCATGTTGACCTGACGGTGAAGAAAACCGTTTTGCAAAAATAAACATGTTTTTGAAGACAACCGTTTAGAGAAAAGTCAGTCAATCAATTTTCTATATACATATATATATATATATATTGAAATATGGGTCAGCCTTGTCCAGGAAAAGCTTCACACTTTGTGGCGCTGTTTCATCCTTGACAGTCATGTCAAGTGTCTGCATGTAAACAGCGAGTGCAGCACGCACAGAACTGATCGTAACTACATCTCCATGACTGAAGAAATATGAGAAACATCAAGAAACACATGTCCTTTAGAAACATATGTTGACCTTTCCTCTTTGTCTGTTGATGTCCCATCCTCCGCCGAACCCATAATTTTCAAGCTTTGCAGCTTCACAGGCACACGGAACTGCACCTGGTAGAAAAGCGTCGGGCACATGTCTGAAAACGCTTTGCACTCATAATGGGTAGCATGAGGTTCTTTTGATCTATTTTACATCTTCCAGCATGTGCGTGTTTACATCGACAGGCACTAAACAAAGTGTTTCGGGCTCTTCTGACACAGCCTTGACCAAGAGCTGATGGTCCACGTTTTCATCCGAAGACAGGAAAGTCTCCGGCGAATCGTCCAAAACATTGGCCACTGGATTGGCCTGTATCATCGCTTCGTGAGTCGTTTCGTCTCTAGTGAGTCACAGTCGTCACCTTGTCTTCGTTGAGACATTCCAACTGCCCTTTCTCTATAAACTCGTCCAATGACGCCACCACCTCGGAGCAAAACGTGGACAGAACGACGAGTAACGAGTCGGTTGTTCGGTTGTTGCTCTGCAGTCTGTTTCCCAGGGCCACACCGCCATAGCGAATTTGCCGGATTGGAAAGCCCGTGACTTTGATGCGTTGTGGCACAAACAAATGAAATCATGCAGGATCCAAACCGACGTGAACTGCTTCGAGACTCAGCTAGCTGTGATGGCAACAGAAATCTGAATGCATCCCTCGAAATGAGCAGCTGAGCTGCAAGAGACCAGGTCAGCGTTGGCTTGTTTTAAACATGTCAAGTTTGAAGAAGTAAGTAAGCACTCATTCGCGAAGGTCTCAAAATGTCTGGCATAAGCACCTGTGGAAACCAGATCTCATGATCTCAAGGCCCTTTTTGAAGCTCAAGGCAGCTTCCGGGAGGCAGCTTGTCTTAAGGCAGCTGCAGCTTCCAAGTCCTTCCGGGCCTCCACGAGTGGAGGTTGTGCGTTTCATACCACGCCAATATGCAAAAACAAGACAAGAAAAGCATACACTGTAACTCCAAAGCAACATCTTGATCGGAAGACCCAAGATTGGAGGCTGTTGCATCGCAACATCACACCAAAGCAACTCTTTGCAAACGGTACGGAAGGACTGCAGTGACAACCAATATTGGTAGGTGCACGTGCAAGGCTTTTGCTGCATTTGGTCGTTGGGATGCGCAACAAGATCGACAAAGTAAAGTGAAAGGTTTGGTGATCCCGCAGCAAACGGGAGCGCTCATTTTCGAGATTGGTGCTGTGGAGAATGAACATCTTTGTTGCAGATGGACTACATGGAAGGCGACAGGCTGACAAAAGACTGGCAAAAAATCTAAATCTAATGGGGACATGGGATGAGGTGCATCTTGGCAGCTCGTGCTCCTCTAAGGAAGGGCTGACACCAACAGGGCTGAGGCTTTGAATTTGTGATTTTGAATTTGCTCCGTATGGCCATTTTAGACACTCTTTTGCCGGACACCAAGGGCGACATGAAGTCTGATTGCCAAAATGGAATTGAACACACACGCACAGGGCATGTGGAATATGGCTTTCTCATGTTGTCAAGACCTTCACAAAAAGTGATTGGATAGGAGTTTGGTTTCTGGTATCTGGCATCGGTATTCTTGAAAAAGTGGCACCGTTTCTGTCGCTCTAGTCAACACAAAGGATCAAGACAAGCATAATGTGCACATCTTTCCAGTACGTGGTGGCATTGAACTTGAGACTGCGATGAAAGTGTCAGATCGGCGATGTGTGGCTTCAGCTCACGCTGAGTCAGAGGTTGATTTGCGCTAAGCTTTTGCTACCAAAAATAGCAGCTGATCACGCCTGCTTCAGCTGCCGGATTCTTTTCAAGGTGTCGGCCCCTGGCAGCATCTACCCACGGTGGCCATGCAAAAATGCACATTGTTATACACACATTGGGATACGTCGATGCTCATTGTGTTGAGTCTCCAACGCTTGGAGCGAAGTTCATCGGCCTCCCGATTCAGGTAAAAAAAGGAGTAGGTTCGACAAACCATCTCGGTAATCAACATTGATTGCGGCCTCGGCGGATGCCTTGCACCAGGAATGCCCACAAACATGCACACGCAAATACCCATCGTTGAGCAACATAAATCCCGGCATTGTTCACTTGCCTCCTGAAACTCCAGGCTTTCAAGGCCTCACAACATCTCACATCACTAACAGGCACAAAATGCATCATGAAAACAGCTACTAGGAGCAAGGGCATCGCTACTAGGGGTTCCTGGCATCGCTACTAGGAGCAAGGACGCTATTAGAATCCGTATCATTAAAACAACTTCCCTGCACTTTTCTTCCCACCTCGTTCGGCCCAAGCCTCCAGGCAGGTTTCAGGTGTCTTTGCAACCCGACTCTTTCCACAAGATCAAACAATGTGCCCTCGACAAAAAATATCCTCCCCGTGATCAAGTCAAAGCAAAATGGATAACAAATCCACAGGGCTGCTGTGCGAATGCCAAGCGCAACTTGCAAACTGCGGAGAAACAAAACAAACAAACACAAAACACCTCAAACGCCATATTTGTCAGCAGCTGCAAATGACAAGTCTAAAACACCAGCACCAGTTGAAAAACGTAAAATAAACCAAATTATCCGCCGACCCCACACTGTGGGGTGAGGCGTGACTGTTGATGTTAGCCTTAGGCCTTAGCCTTAGTCCTTAGCCTTAGACCTAGTCCTTAGCCCTAGACCTAGACCTTACCTCCCCTACCCCTCCGGACCCTTGTTGGAGTTACGAAATCGTGCCCTGAAAGCTACCTGAGCGACCCGGGAATTGTCCAAGATTCTGCCATCCCAATTGATTTACATCTTGGGGCACCCTCTCGACCCGCGCGGGAAAATAAGCACGGTCCAAAATGGTCCTGGGCTCGAATCCCGGGCTGGTCGCGGCATGGTCCCGGCCAATGCCCTTGCTTTTTCGTAGATTTTGTCACGTTTTCTGTTGGTTTATGAGATTTTCAAAGGCTTTTCTGGCATTTTCCTAGGAATGCTGTAGGCTTTGTCTAGATTTTGTGATGTTTTCGGCTAGCGTTTCTTCTGGTTTTTAGGTTCCCAGATTTCTCCCAAAAATTGGTAACCTTTTGCTAACCTATGGAACTTTCAAAGGCTTTTGTAGCATCCCAGATTTCCCCTCAAAATTAGTAACCTTTTGCTAGTTCCCGGCCAATGCCCTTCATTTTTCCTAGGAATACTCTTGGCCGCACTTAGATTTTGTGACGTTTTCGACTAGATGTTAGGAATGCTCTAGGCTTTGTTTATTCGGGAGGGTGCTTTTCCAAACATTTTCTTGCATGTCCTCTTGTCTCGACCCGCGCGGGAAAATAAGCACGGTCCAAAATGGTCCTGGGCTCGCATCGTCATCACCGCAGGGTTCATGCAAGAGATCACGTATGGTAAATCTGGGAGGTACCCAAA